TTGTTCTTGTAGTCCCCGATGATGCACTGAACGACGGCCATATCCCCGCACCCATGGAGGAGGAGGACGACGATGACGATGACAATGACAATGACGATGACCATGATGATGACGATGACCATGACCATGACGAGGACGATGAGTAGTGTTTCCTCTCAACTGATGCCTACAAGGTGCAGTACATATTTTGCAAATGCCACTAGTTTTGGCATTACGTAGGTCTTGTATATGGTAGATGGAGGACTGGTATGATAGCGCTGCTTCTTTTGTACAAGGTGTGCGGGCTCCTTCGCGTGAATTCTGGGCGGCGGTAGTGGAATGGGTGATGGAGGAAAAGGATAGATAGATATAGGCGTGTGGGGGTTGCGTATTGGGGACACGCGGACGGCTGGGATTTGGAGGAGGCGTAGGGAGCGCGTGGAGGGCTCGTGGCGGGCGAGCGCCCTTTACTCACTCTGCGCACGGGCAGGGGATATTTTTGGATGGTGGAGTCCTGGAGGCGTCCTATTTTGGCGGTCTTTAATTTTAGTTTTTTTTTGGTATAGTAAAATTTATTAAATCTTGTTAGTTTAAAAAAAAACTTGTTATTAAGAAATACTCCTACTACGTATAGAGCGCATATTTTTTATTTTGATACACAAGCCACAGAGGTTGTCTACTAGTTTTGAGAAAATGGGTGATGCAAGAGAATTTAAGATCAAATTTTAAGTCCAAGTACTGTTGCGTGTTTCATCGTGCTTGTTCTTTAGTTACCTACTACAAAAGAGTCGTGTGGCTACCTAGAGTGGCCACTCCAAATATACACACAGAATTCTTCAGCCTTGCTCCTCATCAAAAGCACAAAAAAGTTTGTTGTGTATTGAAAAGTCACCGTACAGCGGTTTGGTACATATAATCTCCTTGACTGCTTCAAAGTTTGTTTTGAATCCTCCCAAGGTTATAAACGTACTACAGAAGCAGCTAAGGAGAGCCAGATTGTAGCATTTTTATGAGGTGTGGTTAATTTGTCGGATAGTTCAAAATAGATTGTATATATAATTAACTAAGCTCGATTGTAAAGTGGGTTGTTCAGATTAGGCAAGGAGTTTTTCTAGGACACCAATGTAGCATACGTAGCACCAGATTAAGGCCTGGTTTAGTTCCAAAAACCTTTTCCAAAAAGTGCTACAGTAGCCGTCACACCGAATCTTGCGATACGTGCATGGAGCATTAAATGTAGACGAAAAAAAACTAATTGCACAGTTTAGTGGGAAATCACGAGACGAACGTTTTGAGCCTAATTAGTCCATGATTAAACACTAATTGCCAAATAAAAACGAAAGTAATACAGTAGCCAAACTCCCAAATTTCGCGGAACTAAACAAGCCCTAAAAGGATAATGCAAGGAATGAAAACGTACCATGAGATCGACTTGTAGCTCACATCGTTTCAACGGACATGATGTATACTGTTCATTGATTACCTAAAAAAAACATAGGCCCCGTTCAGTTGCCAAAAAATTTTGCATAGTAACTGTCACATCGAATCTTGCGGCACATGCATGCAGTACTAAATGTAGATGAAAAAAAAAACTAATTACACAGTTAGTCGAGAAATCGCGAGACGAAACTTTTGAACCTAATTAGTTCATAATTAGACACTAATTACCAAATACAAACGAAATGCTACAGTGAGCCAAAATCCAAAATTTTTTGGAACTAAACGCACCCATAGTCGTGTGGTGGGCACGCGCGCGCCTGATAATGACCCAAACAGCAAACAGCAAACAGCATGCGTACGTATATCCTCCATCTAAGAGTGACCAAGGACAAAGGAGATAAGATGAGGGAGAGATTCGTGGTCGGGACGGCACTCACACAAAAGTCCAAGGGAAAATCGTGCATGCATGCGACCTGTACGTGCACCAGCAGCACCACAAAGCTGACTAGGCTTGTGCGTCAGTGCGTGTGGAGGCCTCACGCACGCTGTGGACCACCAGATTGTCCCGCCGCCCGCCGCCCGCCACCACACGCGTCCTCATCATCCACGTCTGCATGTGGACACACGTCTTGTCTCTGTTCATCGCCGGCCTGAATAATGAATCGTCTTCGTTCTATACGGATCACCGTTCTTGTTATTTATAGTTAAAAGTAGTACCTTTTGACACGCTTCCGGAACCACCTCAGCTCCTTCCAGCTGTTGCTAGCAAGCACGGGCCGCGTATCTCGGATGATTCCACTCCCACTGTGCCACTGATGACGTACTGTTGCTTCGGTTGTGTGCACTGTTAGATTCGCACGATCATAAGCTCTAGAACTTGAATCCAAGAGCATGAATGAACTAGTGCTGCTCGTTCCTTCGTTTGATGAGTTAGCCCTTGCAACTCTCTGGCGATCCGTGCCTGCTTAAAGCAGGCAAGAACGCAATAGAGACTAGAGTAGATAGTTTCTTGTCTTGCTCAAGATCGAGGGCCTGTGGTGCCTCTCCTTTTAATCTTTCCGCTGCACATACACTGGGGGCTTTCCTTTAGTCAATTAATCTTGATGCTTGCTACAGGCCTATCCTTGCCCCTGGTCAAAGCACATGACAGACCTCACTACAGTAGGTCTTCCTCCCAACTTGAATCTAAGGAGAGTTAGATCGTAGCTTTTCTTTACAAGGTCTATCGGTGTGTGGTTTGTCGATCAGGTAGTTCGAAATAGGCGGTAAGCTTGATTATAAACCGAATTATTTAGATCAGGCAAAGCTTAAGCTCCATCTGATCCACAGGATAACGATGAGACTTGCAGTTGTAGCACCTTTTATTTATTTCAACAAACATGACGTGCAAGTATTTACTCGTTCAAAAATAGTCGTGTGGCGGGCACACGCCTGACGATGACCCAATTCAAACAGCATACGTATCCTCCATCTACGATCGAGCAAGAGAGACTGCGAGAAAGATCGAGTGGCCGAGCTAGGCCAAGGAGATACTTAAGACGAGGGAGATTCTTGGTGGCGACAGCACACACAACAATTCCAAGGGACATCAAACAGTGGAGGCTGTCAGAGCAGAGGAATGCATGCACGACCTGTGTACCAGCACAGCACCCAGCAGCAGTACCACAAGCTGACTAGGCAGTGCGTGTGGAGACCTCACGCGCGCTCTGGACCAGATTATCCCGGCGACCGCCGCCACCGCCCCCGTCCTCATCATCCACGTCTGCATGTGGACACATGTCTTGTAGTCTCTGTTCATCAGCCTGAACAGCGCATCACTGTCGTTTCACGGAGGATCATCGTTCTCTGAATGGTTGTTTATTTGTTGCCTTTAGATACACGCCTCGTTCCGTCCGGCGTCCCAGTCTTCGTCTTCTGGAACCACCTCCTTTTCCAAGATGTTGCTAGCAATAGCAAGCACATGCAGCCTGTTCGGGAGGCCGTATCGTATCGTGGATTATTTACTGCTGGCTGGTTTGGTGTGAGAGAAAAACACTGTTCCCGACTAAAAATTTACGATCGTTTACAAGCAAGCGAACAGGCTGGCCACACGATGATTCCATTCCCACTGACTATTGCTTGCCTTATACGCACGTTGTTCTTCCTTTGTATGCATGCTTTCTCGTCTCGTCTAATTAGCTTCTTATTAATTCCCATTTATTTCTCTCTCTCTCTCTTTCATGTGAGTAGTAGAGTAACTGTCTGCGTTGATCTGCTCTCTTCTTTGTATTTTATTTTTCTCTTTAATTAATTTCTGTGTGTCATGATGAGATAGGAAAATGAAGGGAGCTACAACTACAACTTTTTTTTTAGAAATAGATACAACTGTTTTGTTTTTTGAGAAACAGCCCGCCATCATCATTATTCGTCAGAAATTATATTACAAACTCCATCAGGAGGAGAGAGGAACCAAACATGTCTACTAAAGGATAAGCTAACTGAACTTCTAGCTAACAAATGAGCTTCATGATTGAACTGTCTTCCTTCATGAACAAACTCCACCTTGCTAAAGCTTTCTCTTCTTGACTTGCAGCCTGTTCGCTTGGTCGTATTTGGCTTATAAGCCATGGCTTATCAGCCAACGAACAGTATTTTTCTCTCGCACCAAACCAGCCAACAGTACTTTCTGCTATGACTTATCAGCCAAACAAGCCCAAACGAACAGGGCATTGATCTCCAGGATGATTGTTCTAAATCTCCCAAAGCCATCACCTTGGATACTTCTAACCACGTTTGCGCAGTCAGTTGCCAATCTCATGGACTGCAACCCAAGATCACTAGGAAACGATAGCTCTTCTCGGCATGCTATTGCTCCGGCCACCTCAACTGCTTCGTCTATGCCTTTTAGACAAGGGCTGAGGCTCCCAGAAAATTGCCCATCTCCTCCCAGGCCACAGCTGCAGCCGATGCAGTCTTTGTGTTCGGATATTCATATTGCTGTGTCGACACTGATCTTCATTAGACCACTAGGCGGAGAAACAGCTACAACAACCATTCAAAAATTAGGTGGTGGCCGAAAGAAAAATCCGAAATTTAAATATGCTAATACATGTGCTATATAACTCTAGACTCATATTTCTATTGCTTATGTTGCATATTCTTCTATTCAGTAGATGTTCCAGTCATAAATCATGTTAATATTTGTTTTATATCTAAATTTATTTAGAAAAAAACATACTTCATGTGCCAGTTTCTAAAAAACATTCGGCGAAATTTCACCAAATTTTACGAAATTTGGTAATTTCGGTGATGACCGGAATTTTTGCAACACCGAAATTAAAAACCCTGACAACGATTTTTTTTTTTGAGCAAAAACCCTGACAACAACTACAATGATGGTCCCTCCCCACTCCCAGCCTGCCAGTGCCCGTGCCTCTACCATTTCCGTTGATGGCCCGGCCCGGCCCATTTTCAGTTCAATTCAATTCCACCAGCCCACGCCCACCACAAACAAAAATTCATCCTCATTCCCGTGCCATCCATCTCCGGCGACGGCGAGCGTTTTTCATTTCGAAATAAAACCAAATAAAAAAAACGGGACGATGCCGCCGGCGATGGCGGAGCAGGATGGAAACGCCGCGACGCCCTCCGCCCTCGCTCTCTTCGCCTCCCGCCTCTCCTATCGCAGGTACTACGCCGCGGCCGCGCGCCTGCCCCAACCCACCTGCCGCACCCAACCGCGCGACCTCTGCGACCTTCTCGCTCACCTTTCGACCTCCCTCCCGCCGCCCCTGACTGGGTGCGAGTGCGCTGCAGGTTCGGGGACGAGGACCTCCGGGTGCTGGAGGCCGCGCTGTCCGCCGGCGCTGACGTACCCGCGCTGCTCGCCACGCGCTCGGCGGCCCGGAGTCTGCTGCAAGCAAGCGCGGCGGAGGCGTTCGCATTCACTGCGACGGGTTCAGTGCTGGATGGTGGGACCAGCCTCGTCGTCGCCGACTTCTTCGCACGCGCCTTCGCGCTCGTAGGCGATGTCGAGGTCAGCACCCAGCGAGATTAGTGTCTGCCGCATACGGTGTGCTGCAGATTATGCACTGCTATTGCTAGTTCGTGCGCCGTACCTGTGATTTTAGTTTTAGTCTGATTTGGGCGCCCGCAGTTGTCGTGCTTCAGTTCAGTATACATTCCTAATTGCAGGCTTTCAGCATTTTATTTTAGATGATTGCAGCATGTTTCATACACACTAGCAAGCAACAGTGCAACACTCAAATTCATCAACCAACATGTGTTCATCATTTGTTTTATTCAGGCTTGAATAATGCGTCCTTATTTTAATTCTGTTTGCACAAATGCAGAGCATGCGCTGCGTTCTTCTCTGCTAATACTGTTACCCTTCATGTACACTGACAGAGCTGCCTTGCCATGAGATACGAGGCCCTGTTGCTTCGAGACGCTAAATACTGCAATGGCCTTCACTTGCAAGTGTCCCGTCAGGAGTGGTTAACTTTCGCAAAGGACTCTCTTGATAATGGCTTCTACACCATTGCCTCCAAGGTAGTTTTATTCAGCTGTAACCTTTGTTGTAGGTAATTCCCCTTCACTGTTCTTATTGACTGGCATGCTCGCACTTAACCTATTAGGTTCAATGGTCTCAGCTGTGGCCGTGTGTGTGTGTGTGTTGGGCGGGCGGGGGGGGCGGGGGGCGCGGCAAGAGCCCCCTAAACACCTACAGTTCCATTAAATTTCAAGAAATATGTACAGCTGCTCCACTGGGTGTGAGGAACACAATCCAATAATAATCTGGAAGTTTGAAACAGAGGAGCCTTCCTCTATTGCCTGCTTTTACATTGATATCTCCCTTTAATTACTAGTTTTAGGTGATTCCATGTGCTGGAAAGTTTAATGCTCTTGTGTAAGTTTTTTATGCCATCTGATAATCAGAGTGCTGATTTGATATAATTAAAGTACTAAGAGGGGAAAAATAAGTCAATCATTTTAGAAATAATTGTTGAAATAGCTCTATCAGGAAATACTACTTCCACTTCATATTTTCTCTAATGCGTGAAGGATTCTTGTCATTTAAATGGATAATAAGTATCATATTTTGCTCTGTCTGACGTAAGCGATGAAGGTCGCTTGATGACTTGTACTGTATATTGCTACTAATACACTAAAGTTTATGGTTGTACATCTGAGCACAAATAAATAGAGAACTGCAGAATGACATTGGCTTACATTGTAACTAATTCAGGCTTTTGCAAATGCTCTTGGGCACATTCATCCAAGCCACCCAGGGCACTTGGACTCTGCTAATTCCATTGAGGAGAAGGACAAGATCAATGATATAACAGGACTCCAGAACTTGGCCAAGTCATTATCTGCACAGCATTCTGGTGAGTTTTCAATGCCATGGATTGCTTAAATTACATGCAGAGAAACTGATCTTGCTTTAACTTTTCAAGTAAAATAAGTGCAGACAAACTAAACTTGCCTTCATCTTTGAAGTTGAGTAAATGAAAGAGTGATACATGTTTAATCTACAGAGATCCAATCTGACTGAATGTATGTCTTCCTTTATGTTTGAGTAACTAATGGCTTGTTTTTTTTTTATCAAACGTGACATCTATTATCTCGGAGATTTGGGGACCTATTGTGACAACTGACACCAAATCTTCTCTTGTATCTTTCAACTGTTTGAACATATTTTCGATATAGCTTTCTAATGCTATTTACTTCTGCTGTGTGTGACAGTTCAGACACAGTCTGCTGAATACATGAAAAGGAGAGCTTCAGGTGTTCATGAGAAGGATAATTTTCAATCAGAAAAACCAAGGTTATCAGCAAGTTCAATGTTTAGGCTAGGGATTAAAACAAGGAACATAAAGAAATTGCTTCATAGCCAGGGAAGGAACCTGGGAGATTTGAAGCAATCTTAGTGTGGCATCTTCCACAAGACCGAGAGGAATGTTGTAGAAAGGTGAGTTGTATGCCTTAATTTACTTATTTGTTTCTAAGTTACCACCAGTGCATATGCACTTCAATCTCTTATACACCTAGTTCAACATCTAAAGCACCAGTTCAACTGAATATGTGCAGTGTTAATTACATTCATCTGATTATTGAAATTGGATATGTGGAAGTGGCATTGGCAGCATGTGCATGCCAGACGTCGACATTTTCTTAACTAGTCCACAACCTCTGTTCATGAGTTTCCAAAACAGAGCAGTATTTTTCAGCTTAGTTTTGTAGCATTGGACCCCTGAAATAAATAAGAAAACTGTGACTAGATCATCATGTCTTGTTTCAGCTCAAAAAGTTTAATTAAAAGTCAATTGCATATAAATAAATATTTACTACAAAAGGTTTGCTGATTACATTACTACAATCCTTAACCACATATTGCAGCGTGGTGGTGCACTTTGCTCAATCTGATTGCAGGAAGTATTGCTAGCTATACACAGTTGCGCTTACTATATTTGGAAAACATTGATTTTCTTTATTTAATGCAGTCCAATTAGCTGAGAATTTATGCAGTGGAGACATGGAGTTATGGATGAGTCTTTGATTCCATATTAAGACAAAGACGTCGAAGAGTACTTGCATGCATTGGTAGCATACTCACTCTGCAAGTAAGTTGCTATCTTCAATATCTGCAGACTGTTTTTCATGTGCAGAACAATAATAAATAGTAACTCTGCCTGTCCACCATGATTTACACATTGCCTTATAATAATATGAAACTGGAATCTTTTGCTGACCGTTGAATTGAGTGTTGGAGAATAATGCGTGTGAAGCACTGTCTTTTGAGACTATTGTTTGGGTGGGAATGACCCACTGTACCGTATTTCTAAAAAAGAAGCAAACAAGGGGGCAGGGTTTATGTTTTCCTGTGGAAATGTGCTATTAGGCGCAAATGTACAGGAGAAAAAATTGTCATGACACAATGCATTTGTCACGTTTCCGTTAAGCAAGCATTTGGTGATTTTCTTCTTGATATGTGCTCTTGCAAACACCTGGAAATCTAGAAGGTCTGTAGCTGGAAGTAATAAGCATGGGCTTTATACCTTCGATTTGAACATCAATTACCTAACATGTGGCATTGGAATATTCTAACTATGATCCCAGAGCACATGCTATGTGAAATAACAAAAACCTAAATTTGTTACTTGCCTAGGTCCATCCTGGTAGAGTTAATCCCATCGAGTCTGAAGTGCTCAGATGGGGAACACCTTGGCGTGTTTCAAGAAAAAGGACGACTGCTGCTTATTCGAGCAAGGAAACTTGGGATGCTAAGTAAAAGGGTTATGTGGAGTACAAGAGGTTAGATGTGGGTACTCACGTGGCCATATGGGTGAGCACTCAGTGGCGGATTGAATTTGACTTCGAAAAATCTGAAGACTTTTACTACATAGGCTGTGAAACTAACACTGTCGGCAGAGCTCAATAATGTAGTGGTAGGGGCCTGGGCAGCCGCGGTTGTATTTGACTGGCATGCCATCCATCCATATTAGGGACCAATCAAACCTCGGGAAGGCTTGCTTTTGGTAGCAATCGCATGTGCACACACGCATCGCAGCAACCTTTCTTAGACGTCCTGCCTCCTCCTGGTCTGTAGGTCACTCGTGTAGGCCTTTCCATCTCATGGATCCATGCGCCAAGTGAGAAAATCAGAAAGCCGATCCTCTGAGAGACAGGGAGACAATTAAGATGTCTTATCCGAAGATCAATCATCGACATGCTTGCAATCGCAACCAAACACGGGCGCAGATACCTTGTTCTGTTTCGTTTGATTTTCCATTTTCATGCTAGCAGGAAATTAATTAAGATTAATGCACGAGTAGAGACGTCATGGTAGCGGATATATGCGTGCATGCATGATTTTGTGATAGTAGTTGCTGCAACACGAATTTGTTCTGTCATGCAGAGTGGAAACAAATGTGGGTAAAATATAGTGAGTCGTTGTGGAGTCGGCATCCGACTGCCGGTGCGCTCCAGACCACGGTACATGTGTCACCCTCTAAGCCTGTACACATGTCACAACTGGTGGAGACCCACCACGAGTCCACGACTCCATGCATATGGCTGATGTAGGTATAGCATACTTGTCTGCTGCTACAACTTAGTCCTAGTTAAGACACGAATGATGCTTGTACATAGCTGCTATATGGTGTACAACATCCATTCATCACTGTTGTAATGCACGACAAATCCCTAATCTTGCTGTTGTCATGGCCTCTTGCACGCATGCATGGGTAGCCACTAGCTGACTAGCCACTCCTGACCTACTGGTTACATACGTGTCAGCTTTCTCCATCATCTTTGCTACGCTGATACTCTGTCGTTTTCTCTTGCTTATAAATTATAATGCAATGTTAGTGATTCTTTATTTATATATGGATTGGATTGAACCTATCACGATGTGGCCGTGTCCAATATTGAAAATGATACGAAATGGGAATCAGTGATCCATGGGGAGAGAGCTGACCCACATGAACCCCGCCAATTCCCTGCCCTGTTTTAATTTCATCCCAGGCATAGGAGTAGATGAATAATTCTACTACCTTAGCTAGTGCATGCATCGTTCGATTTATAAGCTGTAACCGCTATATACATGCTTTGCCAGTTTGCTATAAAACTACTAGCATTAAGGTTGAGTCAATTAGTACTTAAGGGTCAACTAGTGCTAGACGGCTTTGGTTCTTCTGTACGTAAGGGTGTTGTAGCTAGCTGTACTCTTTCTTCCCTAATCTAATTAAGGTCAACAGACCGAACGTGCATGTGGCGTTAATTTCCACCATCACGCATAGTCAAATAATCCTGCTCTCTAGAGCTAGCAGTGGTATATGTTTGCTCAGCAGCCGGCCACCGTTGCAATAATAGTCAACTCATTTCTCAAGATATTTACCTAGTCCTAATGCATGTGAGCCATTGACATGGAACATGGTTTAATTTGTCATCACTGACAATAAACAATGCAGTCTTGGTCTGGCAGAGTTTGAGGTCTCAAGTGATGCATACATGCACTTGCACATTTTTGTCTGGCTTTGGCCAACCAGGGGTGTCTATTTCCGACTGCTGCAGCAAGTGAAAACGGAGGTAGAATTTCCATGCCACAACTGTACTGATTGGGAGACGCATAGAATAGTCCATGAACCATGAACGCGTAGACTACGTTTCGCTTTCTTTCTTGTTTCTAGTTAATTATAAGGAGATAAAGACTTTCTCAGCTGTATCTGCTGCGACCAACAAACCTTGTTGATCGTGGCTGCTAAATACAGACAAAGAAAAACCAAAGAACGTTACACACTGTACTGGTACAGCACTACACAGGCATAACATGCTTGCTGTGCTTGTGATCCAGCTGGAAGGAAGAAAATTAGCTGATAGGTCAGCATGATACAACAGAGTACTAAACAGAAATCTATATTCTATCATCTTTGTCCTGATCTGATACTGTGCTAGTTAATGTGCAAACTATTTGATCTCTCCCATCTTCAGACCTATCATTTCCGACCTAGCTATCATCAGTTCTTCTAACCTACTTTGTTCCTTCCTCTAACCTGCCTGGCTCTATAAAAGAGGAGGTTCTGCACCTGGCAGTCTCCCCCCTTCCCTTTGCAACCATTCTCTCTTCATTCACTGCTCGCTCTAAACCCCTGTGAGCTGTGACTGTGAGGAACCAGAACACGGCAGGTTACCATGGCCGGCAGCGGAAGTGGGAGTGGGAGTGGCAGCAGCAGCAGCCCGCCATGCGCATCGTGCAAGCTGCTGCGTCGGCGCTGCATGCAGGAGTGCGTGTTTGCACCCTACTTCCCTCCCGAGGATCCTCACAAGTTCGCCATCGTCCACAAGGTCTTTGGCGCCAGCAATGTCAGCAAGATGCTGCAGGTCCGTTCAATTTTCCTCCTTGCTGACCTCGTGCATTCAGTTTTATCTCCTTCGTTACTGTCATCCATGGATCATTCAGATTTTTTTTTGAAGTGTGATCATTCAGATTCAGCTAGCTTGCTCATCAGGCTAACATAATCTGCACCAACTGTTGATTCCAGGAGCTGCCTGCTCAGCAGAGAGCGGACGCCGTGAGCAGCCTAGTGTACGAGGCGAACGCGCGCGTGAGGGACCCCGTGTACGGCTGCGTGGGCGCCATCTCCTATCTCCAGCAGCAGGTCTCCCAGCTCCAAGTGCAGCTCGCCCTCGCCAAGGCCGAGATCCTCTGCGTCCAGGTGCAGCACGATGACGGCTATGCACAGTCAGCTTCAGCTGCTGCCGTGCCAGCTCCGGCAAAGCAACAATTCCATCACCAGCAGCAGCTGATGGAATGCGATGCTTATGGCAGCCTGCTCGTGCAAAATGGCCTGGTGATGAACACGTTGAACAGCACTGCCGTTCATCATCAGCAGCAGATGCTGGGTGGCTTTGGCTCTGCAGGGAACACTGCAATGATGCTGCAGGAGGCGTGCCTCAAGAAAGAGTCCCTTTGGGCATGAATGAATGAATTATGTACTTCCATTTGTCGATAAGAAAAAAAAAACTTCTTGTCTCTGTCGCTGTCTGCCGCTGCAATTTTCCGGAAGGATGGGAAATTATTAAGAGATGAGTTAATTCGCGGTCACATGAGCATCACAATCTCAGCATTGTTCCTACCTCAAAACTAAGAATAAGATCTTTCAGAAAAAAATATTAAAAACTAAGAATCAAGACGAGGTTCACCTGCTTTTGGTAGACTTGGGAGTTGTGAGTCAGCTATTTGGACGCGTTTGGATTCACATGGTGTGCACAGTAGGATTGTTCGTGGACAACTGGACATTAAGCATCACAAAAACTTTTTTTTTCCCCACCGCGCTGGATCGGAGTTGTATATTTTGACTGCTGCTACGTCCAATTGGAAGACCTGACCTAACAGATTCCTAAGCTTTTCTGCATAGGACGTGTGTCC